TCCTCGGCTCTGGCCCGCTCAGCCGGCTCCTTCGCACGGATGCTGAGACCTCCGGAGAGCCCTGGGCCAAGCCTCAAACGCAACTGTGATTCTAGGCTCTAACAAGACATGGCCCTCAAGCCAAGTTTGCCCCAGAAAATTGTCAGGGCTGGCCCCTGGAACCGTGTCCACCCCACCTCTCCCATCTGGGGCTGTGAAGGCCAACACAAGGCAGCCGCTGGCTTTGGGGGGAGGGGGCATCCCAGGGGGCCAGGATCATCCTGTCCTTGGCTGCCATCTCAAGGAAGCTGGGCTGCTCTCCCCTCTGCCCCTCTGTCCCTCTGCTCCCCCTGCAGTCCCTTCTTGCAGTTGCCTGAGGATCTTTTAAAAATGTTAATCACTCCCCCGGTTCAGAACCCAGGAATACGCCCTGCCAGTCAGTCCCCTGCTGACCTCCCAGACCTCATTTCCCACTATTTTTGCCCCAGGACTTTTGTACTTGCTGCTCACACTGCCTGGATACGCTCTCCTACATATTTTCATGGCTACTTCTTTCACTTTATTCAGGTCTCAGCTCAAATGCCACCTCCCTAGACAGGCCTCCTGGGCCATTGAGCTGCACTAATGACTGGTGCTTTACTTTCTCCCTATTTATTCTCTTAGGCATTTATTTGTGTTTTCTATTTTTCCTGCTGCTCTCTTGGATTCAAGGCCCACAAGGGCAGGAGTCTTGGGTATCTTGGTCACCATGGTGCCCCCAGGTCCTGGCACACTGATCAATAAAGGAAGGATTGAACAAGTGAGTGAATGAGTCCTCACAACTAACTGCTCTTGGTGGAGAGAGAGGCTCCTTCCCAGAGACTCAGAGATGTAAAGTGCCTGGACCGAATTTCCACAGTGAGCTGAGGGCATTCGAACCCAGGTCAGCCTGACTTAAAGGTCCCACAGGGCTGTCCTAACGACAATATTTTCACTCCTTTCAAACAACTGCATGTGTTTGATACTTTGATGCCTTTTTCCCAGATAGAGAGACAGAGACTCAGGGAGGGGTTTCAGGGGCTTGGACTGTAAGTACCCACCCCCTTCTCTGGCTCTTGGTTTCCCTGTGGGTAAAACAATCATCTCGTAGGTTCTGATTTTCAGAAAAGGGAGCCCTGGGCTACCCCCAATGGCCAGCAGGACGGGAGGCATCAATCACTTCGTCCCTGAGGCCCAGTGCTCAGCACCCAGCTCACAGAACCCCGTTTAGGAAGTCATTTCCCAGAATCTAATCATCATAATGGACCTGGGGACCAGGAACGTTCTTGTTCCCATTTTTCAGATTAGGAAAAATGAGTCAAAGGACAGATTGAGTTAAGGGACTGAGTCAAGTCCCTTTGAATGGTGGTTGGGGGTCTACAACTTGCCCAGCCACCTTCCATTCCAACACAGAGCAGGACTTTGGAGACAAATGTGAGTTTGAATAGTATGCCCTTCTCTCAGTCAGTGACTTTAGGCAGGGGGCTTAATCTCTCAGAGCCTTGTTTGTTTGTTTTTTTAAATCTATAAAGAGCAGGATTTTCATAGGGAATCCCCCCCTACTGTGTGTGAGACCCTCAGGCCTAAAATAAAAATTTTTAAAAAAGCAAAGTGTAGGGTTTTCCAGAACTATATGCAGAGCAAGAATGACTTGAATGGGAGTGGACATTTCCGTCTGAGGTTTGTAACCACTCAGAACCTTGAGTAGGTCAGTGATGAAGTGGCTCGAATGAATTATCACTGAACCTCAGTTTCCTTATCTGTAAAAGGGGAGTAATAATAGGAAAGCGCTCCTTTGCAGGCTTGTCATGAGTCCTGGAGGTCCTAGCATGGAGGTCTCAGGGCAGCTCTATCCCAGGCCTGATAGGCCCTCTTCTCTGACCCCAGACACAGCTGTGATCAGTCCCCAGGACCCCACACTCCTCATCGGCTCCTCCCTGCAGGCCACGTGCTCAGTGCACGGGGACCTGCAGGGCCCTACTGCAGAGGGCCTCTACTGGACCCTAAATGGGCGCCGCCTGCCCCCCGAGCTCTCCCGCATGCTCAACGCCTCCACCCTGGCCCTCGCCTTGGCCAACCTCAACGGATCCAGGCAGCAGTCGGGGGACAACCTCGTGTGCCACGCTCAAGACGGCAGCATCCTAGCGGGCTCCTGCCTCTATGTTGGCCGTAAGTGGCCCCCAGGACGCTCAGGGGTAGCTTTTGGGGAGCAGCATCTCCCCCTAAAGGGGCATGGATCATGGGCCCTCTGGCCCAGGGCTGGATGGTGGGCATGCACACTTGAGAGGTATGGGCTTTTGGGTGGGAATGAAAGCCTGGAGACCCTCCCCCCACAGTCCCTCAGAGAGCTCACGCAAGGGGTCATGTCAACATCCACCCTGTCTGAGGTGGGGCTGGCTGGCGACCAGCAGCTCCTCTGCCTATCCACAGCCAGTCCAGACCCTCAGCCCCTGCACCCTCTCCTCAGTGCCCCCAGAGAAACCCTTCAACATCAGTTGCTGGTCCAAGAACATGAAGGACCTGACATGCCGCTGGACACCGGGGGCCCATGGGGAGACCTTCCTCCACACCAACTACTCCCTGAAGTACAAGCTGAGGTTGGTAATGGCCCCTGGCGACATGTAAGGCAGCCTGGCTGCCCTCTGAGCTCAGTGTTCTGCCCTAGTGAGGCCTGAGGCCCCTAAGGGACCCTCATGTGTCCTCACCCCCCTGCCCCCACAGGTGGTATGGGCAGGACAACACATGTGAGGAGTACCACACGGTGGGACCCCACTCCTGCCACATCCCCAAGGACCTGGCTCTCTTCACCCCCTACGAGATCTGGGTGGAAGCCACCAACAGGCTGGGCTCGGCCCGCTCAGATGTGCTCACACTGGACATCCTGGATGTGGGTGAGGCACCTCCCGATCCCCCCACCCCACCCCACAAACCCAGTCATGGCTGCATCTCTGGTCCAATCCTGCTGGTTGGGACAGGGAGTACCCTTCAGTCTCTAGCCCCCTGAATCAGCCAGCATAGTTCCACTCTGCTGAGAACACCTGGCCTGCCCCCTCCTCCTCTAAGCCCAGGTGTGCCAGAGGGCCCTCAATCTCCAGCTGGGAGGGGCTGTCCAGGTCTGAGGCACCCCAGGAAGCCACAGTCTGGAGCTGGGGTGGAGGGGGGGCAGGCAGGAGGCAGGAAATGGATGATCTGCAGCAGAATTGGGCTTAATCTAATTAGGGTGTTTCTCAGCCCTGAGCAGGCCTGTGTCTTAACCCATTCGGCCCCTCACCAAGGCCTCAGGGAGAGAGCCAGCTCTCCCTGCTTCCCACAGGGCTCCCAGAAGGATCCCAGATCCATCCTGGCTTGGAGCCACCCCCACCCCAGCCTTCCCTCTTCGCTTCCTTCAGTCTTGAAGCTGCGGTGGGCATGTTCTCAGCTTCAGTTGTCGCTCTGCACCCAGCATACCGAGGACTTTGTAAGGTGGGAAGGTGCTGGAGGTGTGTGGTGATGGTCCCCTGGCCTCCTGGGAATAATAATAATAATATCATCGGCCAGGCAGTATCTGCTTTTACAGAATTCCCTGAAGATAGGATTATGTTTCTCCTGTCACAGATAATAATGGTGATAACAGCTAACATTAATTGAGTGCTTCTAGGCGCTGAGTGTTTCCTGAATATTGTCTAATGTAATCCACCAGCCTCGAGGGGGTGGGAGGGGGAGGAGAAGGGAAGCAGGTGCCACCTAAGCCACATGCTCTGGGATTTGAACCCAGACTGGGGCCAGGCAGGTCCCAGGGGCCCATGACTAAGCCCTGTTCCACCCCGCCTGCCAGTGACCACCGATCCCCCGCCCGATGTGCACGTGAGCCGAGTTGGGGGCCTGGAGGACCAGCTGAGCGTGCGCTGGGTTTCCCCGCCCGCCCTCAAGGACTTCCTCTTCCAAGCCAAGTACCAGATCCGCTACCGCGTGGAGGATAGTGTGGATTG